GAAATGTGGCCAAGTTTGAATTTATAGAATGCCACTACTGATGAGTACTAAATATTTGTATATTTAAGCCCATAAATATATGTATGTTAAGGCTTAAAGTGATACTTCTATCCATAGTTAGACTGATTTATGTTTAATGTGTGTTTATAGGTACTTTACCAGAGAAATGGTTAACATCGGGACTTTATGATGATATCGAAGCTTACAGAATCGTTGCCAGTCATCCAGAGTAAGTCGAGAGCTTAAATGGTGAAGTTTGGAAGAATTCAAGAACCAGAGCTTGAGCCAAAGTCTTGAGGCTCGAGCCTTGTAAAAAGAAAAGAAGAAAAGTGAACAAGGCATTGAAGCTCGAGCCTTGTACATTAGTGCTCGAGCCTTAATAGAGGGTGCTCGAGCCTTGGCCCTCAAGCTCGAGTATAAGGCATCGGAAGTTGGAGAGTTAATTTTAATTGAAGAACCAAGCTCCCAGGTCTCATGCCTAACCTCAATGATCGAGCACCATTACTTAAGGCTTGAGCCTTGAGTACCTAAAGCTCGAGCTTGGTACCTAGTGCTCAAGCCCATGAAGCTTGGATTGAGCAATGTTAAAAAATTTTAATCCCAAAAATATTCTAAGTGTTGAAAGAAAAGAAGCTTCAAAAAATAGTTAAAGAAAATTGGCTAAGTGTCAAAGTGAAGATCGAGCACCATTCCTTGAAGCTCGAGCATAAATGCAGAGAAGCTCGAGCCTTGTTCCCAAAGCTCAAGCCTGAACCTCCAAGCTTGAGCCTAACTTCTTAAAGCTTGAGCTTTCCATGGCAAATCAGATTTCAAGTTACGGGAATATTCCTTTTTGAGTCGTGTTTCACCTCAAATGGGCTAGAAGACCTAAAAGCCCACCATATCCTTATTTTTCTTCTATAAAAGAAGACGTAAGCCTAGATAAAAGAGGTCTGAAATTCCAAGTCCTTTTTACGGTGTTATTCAGAAGGCTGATAGAGATTAAGTTTGGGGGTGTATTTGCATACTTTACATATCACACTTACTTTCTATGCATATGATTTGATTTGAGAGTCTTGGGCTATGATTTTGATCTTTTGAGGACCATGATACTTAGAATTTAAAAATTACTTGACTTGAGAGTCTAATACTCCTTGTATGCCTTGTGGATACCATTTAGAAGTAAATTTTTCAAAAGATTGATATCTTGCTTGCATTTGTGGTCCACATTATCATGATTTTGTGATTGTTTTGAGATTTACTCTAGGATTCTACACTAGCACAGGCGCACATTAGCATTCATTTGTGGGGTGCATGCTTTGTTAATTATTGATTTGGTTATATCCCAATTGAGCTAGTAGTGCATTGAAAGCTTTTATTTTGACAAAAGTGGATAACAAACCCTTTTCATTGAGTAGCCAAGATTCTAACCGCATTAAGCACTGAATTTCTCCCGCCGAAAGGTGGAGGGCCCAAACTCTAGGTTAATAATTGAACTTCCTAAAAAAAAAAAGTCGAAAAAGCAAATAAAAAAGTGAGGACTTCTCCCAAAAGGTGAGAAGTGGGAAATGATTAAATGGAGGTAGTTTTGATTTGTAGCCTAGTCGATTTGAGCTTGTAAGTCCTTAGGGGTGTTTAAACACCTAATACCCTAAAGCCGTCTGGTTTGGGAGTCATTGACCTAACGCCCGACCTTTGATCCTCTAGGATAGTAAAAAAAAAAAAATTGAGTGAAAAGAATAAGCACACCTAGTTGAATAAGCTTTAATAAAAGGTCCACTCTTTGTTTTGATGATCGATACTAGATTTGTGTGCTAGTTTGAGGGTAAGGATATGATCATTTCTTTAGTTGGCTTAGATAACAACATATTTGATGTCGGTTCACTTAAAAAGAATTCTAGAGTTATTTTGATTGCATGATCATTTTCTTAATGTGTGGAGGACCATACTTGCTTACTTGATGTTGATATTTTGGGAGATTGATTGGAAAGGGTTGAAAAATTGCGTACTTGAGGTAGTTTTCTCCCGATAATTATTTTGTATGTTGGTACCTCTTTAGTGAGAGAGAGCTCAATGTTTGTGGGTATCATTTCTAGAAACCCTCACGAGACTTCACTCATCCACTAGGGTAACCTAGGGGTTTAAAAGGCTTGTTGCATATGCTAAATGCAATCTTGTTCCCTACGAAAGTGGCGCTATCATTTTATTGCTTTCTAGTTCATAATTGCTTAGTTGCTTATTTCTTTATTGTTCTTCTAGTTCATTGCCAGGGACTAGCAATATCTAAGTTTAGGGGTGTGATAAGTACTCAAATGTGACGCATTTTAGCACCTAAGCTAGTGTATTTTAGTCCATTCATTTATTTTACTTTCATGTCTTAGATATTTATTTGTGTTTTTACCTAATAAAGTTCAAACAGGCTAACAAGAGCCATTTAGCTCAATTTTGGAGCTAAAGAGCAAAGTTGGAAAGAAGTCAAGAAAAATGCACCAGGGGAACTTCGATTGATCGAAGGGAAATCCCGATCGATCGAAGAGGTCTACAATTGATTGAAATGAGGCGGTGCCAGCTTAGCCAATTGGATAAAGCTTGGAAGATATTTTTGAGCCACGTCAGCTTCGATTGATCGAAGCCAAGTGTTTGATCAATCGAACATCTTCGATCGACTGAAATGCCTACTGGCAGTGAGCTGTCTAATTCCCGAGCGCGCCGATTTCTACCTAACTTGTGTAGCTGCGTATTTCCTCCGATCATAGGCTGTAATTCTGACTTAGTCCTTACTCAAAGGAGTATGTAATTGATTTATTGAACATTATTGTATAATACCATAATAGATAGATAGAGAGATATTAGAAAATAGAGAAAAAATAGTTTCCCTCTCTAGAACTAGGGTTTTGGGAAGAAAGTAAGGATGAAGATGATAATGCCAACCTCCAAGCTAGCCCTTGAGGGTTTCATGTCCACTACAATGAATGGGTAAATCCTTCTCTTGGGGCTAGAGATAGCCCATAGGCTTGCTTCTCAAACCTAGCTTTTGTGTATTTTTAGGGATTTTAATTATAATAAATGTTTTGACCATGAATAAATATAGATCTTGTGATTTCTACTTGATTTGTATGGATTAATGCTTTCAATTGATCATTTGGCTCTAGTCATATGTCTATGTATGCTAGAATTGATGTTCATATTTTTGTCTCTAGATTTAATGAAATTGATGCATGTCTATGTGTGTTGATAATATTAATCTAGTGATGGTCAAGGCATGGTGCTTAATGGAACACTCTTATGATTTATTCGATGATTTACACTTGTTTCTTGATGGATTGTATCACATCTCTAGTTTAATTAGTTTAATTTCATGTCTCTAGCCTAGTTGTAGTATAATTACTTTAATTTCTTAGGTAGGTGAACAATCCATTCTTGTTTCTTGATGTTCCATATTTGTGAATGCAAAGAGTTCGTGTCTCTAGATATTTGTATGTGCATTAATTGTGGTTTAATTGAATGAATATTGGTCTCATTTGATAGGTTGTACTATTCATTAAAATTAGCTAGACAATCTATACTTATTTGCCATCCATGCTTAGTTTCAATTGATGTCACACACACAAAAGTTACAATGCAAATTTTTCCATTAATGTACAATTGCTAGTGTTTGATGAAGTGAAGCTTAGTGGTGACTCTAAGCCCCAAGACCTCTCTCCTATATCATTTCCCTACTTTCTAGCTTGTTATTTACTTGCATTAGTTTTAATTGCATTGTAGTTTAATTAACCAATCACCAACCATCTTTGATCATTCAACCTACTAATCTGACATTAGTTTCCATCACAAATACACCTCATTTCCTTTAGGACGATCCCTACTCACTCTAGCTATATTTTTAGTTAGAAGTAGTGGCATTTTCTAAATTTAAACTTGGCCACACTACACACTTTTGTATACTTCGGTTTGACGCACAATAGTCAAAACCCAGACATATTTGAGTTAGACTCGGGCTCAACCCGAACCCAACCCAAAAACCAAAATAAAAAAATAAATAAAAAATTTCATTTTTTTTTTCTCCTTTCTCTCTCTCTCTCTTCTTTCTCTTTCTCTCTCTACCGCCGTCCCAATACATTCAAGTTAGCAGTTACAGAAAGAGGGGGGCAAACTTGAGAGTTAAGAGACAGCGGCTGAAGCTTGCGAATGGCGAACCCAAACTGGAACAGCAGGCGATGCAAACTGAAAGATCTAGGTTTTGATTTTTTGAACAATCTGAAATGATATACCGATATGGGTTTTGAACTTTTAATTCTTGCAGACTGATAGATAAAACTAAAATATATGGGTTTTGAAGTTCTGATTCTTGTAGATTTTGTAGTTTGCAGTTGTAGAGAAAAATAGAGAGGGGGGCAAGTTTAGAGAGAATAGAGATGGAGGCGATTGGGGAGGTTAAAATGATTTGCCCTAAAAATAATAAAATATATAAAATATATATATATATATATATATATATATATATAATTTGTTTTTTAATAATAATATAATCGAATATATAAATATATAAATTTTTGAATTTTTTTTTTTTAAAAACTCAACCCGCCAACCCAACTCAACCCGCCCGAAAATATTCGGGCTAGGTTATAACCATAACCCATATTAGGTACAATTTGGGTTGGCCCAACCTAACTCGATTTGGGTTGAGGTTGGGTTGAGACTGGGCTGGGTTGGGCCAGCCCAACTTGCAGCCTTAATAATATATGGGAATTAAATTTAGGGTTCAAAAACAAAAAAACCTGAACTATGGAGAAACGTACAACTAACCCCCTGAACTATGCAAAAAGTTGCAGATCACCCCATCCGTCACTATTCCGGTCGGATCTTGCCATTAAAGTGATCAAGTGATGGTCACATGACATCTACAATATTTTTAATGACCATAATGCCCTCATGACCATGAAAAGACATTAATGCCCCTTATTTTAACTATTAAATCCATATTTCTTTTTATAAACCCCAAACACACCCTTATACTGTTGATCTTCTTCCCAGCATTGCTTGAATGAAAAAAAAAAAAAAAAAAAAAAAAAAAAAAAAAAAATCGACTCGCGAACTGATCTTTCCTTTTCCCATTCCACTTCATCTTTTTCATCCCCGATTAAGGGTCCATCAACGAACAGCCCCTAAACCCAACCTCCACTTTCAATTTCTTTATCAGCGTCCCTTACCTTTCTGTTCTTCTCTTCCGCGGTACAATGGGTGTCCAATTCCGGCGACATGGTATGATACTAGGTTTGGGATTCTTCTCTGGCCACTGTTGATTTGGTCTGTCGGGCGTTATGGGTAGCATTCTTTTCCGGCCACGGTTTGTTGGTCACTGTTTTGCATCGCTTGCGGATTCGGTGCTGGAGTTGTGTTTTTCTCCAACCGTGGGTTACTGCGCCATCGATTGTGGGTGCGGTTGTCATTTTCTTTTCCTCTGGTGAAGTGTGTGTCAAAATTTGGTGGGTTTGTAGGTCGCGGTCAAATTCCGGCCCCATGGTTTGAGTCTGATTCGGGTTGGGATTCATCTCCGGGGGGATTTGTTGGGTCTTGCGGGTCTCGGTGGCAGCCATCGTTGCCGAGTTTGGGTTTGATTTGCAAGGCTGTGGTGTTGTTGCAAGTATGTTTGTGACTAATTTGTGATGATGGTGGATAGTTGTTTGCTGCAATAGTGTGAATTTACAGTTTTGGATTGTTGATCACATGGTTCAATTTTATGAATTGGGGTGTTGATTGTAGGGTTGTGATTAGGTGTAAGATTTGGTTTGTTTGATTGATTACAGAGGTGGTGATTTATGGGTGTTTATGCACTTTTAGGGGTGAGTATAGTGATCTGAATTGGTGATTAGGTGATTGATTTGGGTAGTAGCCAGATGGTCGAATGAGCAAGAGGCGATGAATTTAGGCCAGGGGCTTTCTTTCCGACTCCGGAAACCAGCATCATCTTGTCCTTGTCGCCAGACCAGAATCATCGCCGTCGTCATGTCGAGATCAACCTCGATGCTAACCCTAAACGTCGGCGCCTTCTTCATTGCAGACCCAGCCATACTCGCCGCTATAGTCTCATTTGTTTCATTGGTGTCATATTTTTATTGGTTTATGAAATTATCAACTGCCAGGTATACCTCTAAAAGCGACCTAGTTTTAAGTAAGAGTAAATTTGTCTTTCAATATTTCTGACCAAGTCACCTACTGGAATGCAACAAATCAATAATATAGGTTTTATTTGGCAACAAGATCATAGTTCAGGAGGTTTCTTTTAGTTGAAGGGGCTTAGTTGCAAAACCCCAATTCAGGATTTTTTTTTTTGCATTTTACCCTTAAATTTATTGTGTCGATATCTGGTTTAATTTGGCCCCAAAAAGAAGAAACCCTAAACTAAGTTTTTCAGTATCTATCTCCCCTCCCCACCAGAGGCGCTTAATTTTGCTGTCAGAATCGTTTTTGCCGGCGAATGTCAATGGCTAGTCAAATCAGCACGATGGATCAATTAACCGATTATCTCGGTATTCCATTTTCTGGATTACCCTTTTCAAAAATGGGTTATATTCCTTCATATTTACGAACTGATGTAAATTGTTTCAAACCGTCCGTGGTCTCGATTGGTCCTTATTTCCGTCATTTTTCGTTGAAAATAGAAGACGCATTTAAGTTGCAGATGGCATCGGATCTCATACAACCTGAGAGCTTCAATACTTTCAAATCAAAAATGGAGAAAGTAATTGAGAAAGGTATGAGTTATTACCCTGAAAAAGTTGTGGATAAATGCTTGAAGCATAAGAATATTGAAGTTACCAGAGATAATAGGATCAAAATTTTCAGAATTATTTTGTTTCTCGACTCTTGCTTTATTGTCCGCCTAATTGAGATGGTTTTGATTGGTGAGGAGCATGATAAACTGCCTTTTAGTAGTATGATAGCTAGGAGATGTATTAGAGATCTAATATTGCTAGAGAATCAAATTCCATGGGTTGTTTTGAAAGAAATATTCCTTGCAAGATATGGTTCGGATCATTATGTGCATAGACAATTAACTTTGTTTGCGAATTTGGTTTTTTCTGGTTCATCTTCAGAAAATTTTGTTGATTCGGAAACTTTCTGTTCAGATTTGATTCATGTGTTTCAGCAGAATCCTGTCCATCTTTTGGACATTCTGAGACGTAAGATAATCCGGTTTCCTAACACAAACCACCACAGTTGTACGAGAGTAAATAGCTTGGGCGGAAGTCTTGCTTCAGCCAGTAAAATGAGAAGTTGGGGAATTTCTTTTGCAGTTCAAGGGAATCTTGAAATGAGGAGGATTACATTCAAGAATGGATGTTTTCATCTCCCTAAATTGTTCATTTGTGAGTTTTCTGAGAGTTTGTTTGTGAATTTAATGGCTTATGAGTATAGTTTTGGAATAAAAGGAAATGATGAGATTTCTACCTACATGTGGTTGATGGGGTTGTGGCTAAGTGATGAGGAAAGTGTGAGTATTTTGCGCAACAATGTTGTTTTATCACTTTATAGCGATGAGAAAATAGTACAACTGTTTAAACGGGTGACCCAGGAACGGATGCCAAATATGAAACTATTGGAGGTGACCCATGGATTGGTACCAAATACCCAACTATTGGAGGAAGTTGTAAAACTAACTAAGATTTACCAAGATTCTAATGTGATGCTACTGAGAAGATGGGCTTTTAAAATACAAGAGATTTGTTTTAGCAGCATATGGAGAACAGTTGCATGTGTGAGTGTATTTGTAATGACTATTAAGCAAATAGTTGGTGTAACTTGTAAGGGGTAAATGTAGTCACTATGAATTTATTTCATAGTGTATAAATTTTATGGTGACTACATTATCTTGGTTTATAAAGCAAGTATCTGTTTTCCATTATTTTTAAGTGTGTTGTTGTCACAAGCCATATTTGTTTTTCTGCTCAGGTTATAATATAATATATTGTCCTGATTGCAATACCTTTAATCTCTTTTGACAGATTTTTTTTGTGACTGAAGAGCAAGAAAGTGATTATGATGTCAATGATTTTTTGTTTTTGTTTGATAATTGTCCTGATTGCAGTATATAATATATTTAATCTCTTTGACGGAATTTTTTGTGATTGAAGAGCAAGAAAGTGATTATGATGTCGAGTAGTAATGAGGAACTCGGCCTATGGGATATTGCAGGTAAATCTTTTAATATGAGCTTTGGTATGTGTCAAATCATTTTCAGTTTATGTATTGTGGTGATAGTGGCTAGGATATTGGTTTCAAAGTTGGAAAAAAAAAAATGGAAAAAATAGTTTCATGATGCAATGCTAGGATATCTCATTGTGAAACGTCCCAATTGACACCCCTCTATTAGGCACACTCATGCACATATGACATGGATAGCCTGGATATCTTTCTTTTTTTTTTTGAAGTTTAGTCAAGTTGCGAAGGTTTTTCCTTTTTTTTTTTTTTTTTTTTCAGTATATTGATAGGTGAGCAAGTTGAGTAATTTCTATTTAATATTTTGTACTTTGCTTTCTAGTAGTGGGACCAATTACCACACGTGAGTAGATAACAAGTATCAAACATGTTGATATACACTCAAAACCAATCCCTGTGAATCTAGAAGGAAACTCCCATGTAATCCTATGTGTTATTTGTCTCTCATATGTTTTTATTTTTTTAAAATTTTTGGATGCATTTTAATACTTCCAGTACTGTGATCCAATTGAAATAACTAGAAAGCTCGTGTAATCTCATATGATCTAGCCACTGGGTAAGAGCTAAAGGTAATGTAATGAGTTGGATCCTTGAAGTTAAGTTTATAGAATATAGAGTTCTATATTTTAAAATTTATTTGCCTTTCCTAGGAAAAAATATTTATTTGCCTTCCGAAGATTTTATTGTTAGTTTTAATTATGTGCATATATATATATATATTTTTTTTAAAGACGGATGCCAATTTGTGTGTGAAGGGCTGAATTATGTGGTTTCTATCCTCCTTTAATAATATATATATATATATGTATGTATATATGTATTTTGATAATTTGTTAAGGATATTGAGAGGGAAGATAGGAAAGAAGTTGATGCAACCATTGCCCAAGCCAAGGTGAGTAATCTGAGTAGTTATATTTACCATTTAGTACACATTCGGCACTTAACATTGAAATAACTAATTATTTTTCTTTGCTCATAATATTGGCTCAGATTCTTGATATGGACACCTACTGGTACCATGGTCATTTTGCATATGATCTTGGGAGCACCTGCAACACACACACTTGTTGAGATAATCAGTGTCAAACATGTTGATATATCCTTAAAAAATTCTCTCTGAATCTAAAGGAAAAATCTTTATTAATCCTCTTTCTTATCTGTTGACTGTCTCATATGATATGTTTTTTAGATGTGTTTAATGCATTTGAGTACGTGATCCAATTGAAAGAATTAGAGAGCTGATATTATCCCATATGAGCTGGCCACGGCAAAAGAGCTACAGGTATCTTATTATTTGGATTCTTGAACCCAAGTTTACAATATAAAATTATATATTTTGAAACTTAGTTGGGTTTAGAACATTTTATTATTTGCTTTAATTATCGTGATACATGTTCTTTTATTTGATCTTGATTTTTGAGGGTGCAATGCCAATTTGTGTGTGAAGAGCCACTTAATGTGGTTTCTGGTCTCCTTTGAAGTATTTCTTTTTCTTTATTGATATTTTGTTCAAGATATTGAGGAGGAAGGAAAGAATTTGTTGAAGCCATTGCCCAAAACCAAGGCGAGAATAATGTCATATTTCTTCTGTTATTTGTTTAGTGCTTCTGGTTAGGGGTGGTAAAAGGAGCCAAACTGTCAACACATCGTCAATAATGACTTATTGGGTGAGTGGTTTAATAAAACGGGTTAGTTCGTAAGGAATAATATAATTAGTGGATTGTTAGTAGGTACCCACTCTAACCCGCCCAAAATTCAAGAAAACTTGGTCCAATCTTCTTTTAAAGCAATGTGTTTTTCTTTTCTCCCTTACAATTTCACAACCACTCCCACAAACAATACAACCAGTAGCACCACCACCAGCTCAATCGGCAGCGGCACCACCACAACTATCCCCATAACCGCCGCCACAATCCCCAACAGCTACCAGTAGCACAACCAGCGGCCGCACCACCACCTTCTCCATCCCATAACCGCGGGTCCGCCACCATATTTTCATGCCGTTGATCTTCGCCTCCACCGAACCCATGGTTACAACCATCAACAACACCGATCTGTTGATTTGACTCAACGCATCGTTGAACAGACCCATACAATCGCGCATCGCAGACTTGATATGAGGGTCATTTGGGCAACGAAGAAAGATTGGGAGTCATTGATGGAGACTTGTAGAGAGAGATTGAAATGAGGTGAGGACACTCATCATAGGCGGCGGCAAGATCATTCTTGGCATGGGTCTGAATTTTGAAGTGAGTATGAGTTTAAGAGAGATAGAGAGAGAGAGAGCGAGAGAGAATGTTTGTGATGAATTTTTCCCCTGTTGAAGGATATAAGTATTAAAGTTGCACCCTCTCTAGCAGCTTAAGCTTTTAGAGGAGATGGTAGTTAACATGGTATTAAAGCCAAAGCTCTCGAGTTCAAATCTCACCGTCACCCTAATTAAAAATTGAAAAACACGTGTTGGACCAAAAGAAGACACCTTAAGCTCTTAGAGTAGATGGTAGTTAACAGCCCCCGTATCTCTCCGGGCACTCGAATTCACCTTGGGAAACAGAAATTCAGTTACATTTATTGGCGAAAGGAGGAGCATCTCAGTCTCATTGGCCGTGAATTTGCCGGTATCTGAACCTAAAAAGCTTGAAAGTGAGCTCGAATTCATAGGGGTATGTATATATTCCTCTAAACATTTGCTTGCTTCTAATTTATACACTTCCTTTTTTTTTTTTTTGGTGTAAAGAATATATAAAAGCTATCATATATAGCAAAGTTGTACAAGTGTAAGTATATACATACTTATATATATAATGTTTTGTTCGGGTTGTGTTTTTCTTGATTATCACATTAATAACAGGCCTTGCACTTGGCCTGGAATTCTGAGCACATCAATTGAGGAGGGATTATTGTGAACTAATGAGGGCTATTGTGTTTAATTTGCCTGGAGTTGGACAACAAGAAACAAGTTTTGGTATATATTGAAAGTATGTTTTGGATTTATTCCTCTTTGCTGTTTCAATTGATTTTCTGTACTTGCTTTCTTTCATGGTATACTATGTTTTTCTTGTTTCAGCATCAATTGGATTTTGTGGCTATTTTGCTATAATTGTTTCTGCTTTTGGTGATAATTGCTTGTGTTGACACCTTAAAGAATCCTGCCTATTCGTGATAAATATACCAAAAGGCTTGAAAGAAGTTGGAGTTCCTATCAGTTTTCTTATTTATGGTTTGCTCCTGTGATGGGCCTGTTCTTGCAATTCCGTTTTAATAATTGAGCTTAGTTTTTTACCTTATTCAAAGAATGTAGTCTGATGAGGAAATGGGTGTGGTTTTGTGTGGTTGATGTTAGTGGGACATTGGGATGCTCTACTTACCGAGTATTGGTGGTTTGGACCGTACAATTCACAAATTGCAATATGACAGTGGTCCACATAATTTTTAATTTCAAACTGCTTTCCATTGGAGTTTTATCTAAAGCGCTGCTATACATATTTTTGATTGACTTTGTCATTATCCTCTGTTTTCAGGCTAAAGATGTTAATGCTATAAGGTATGTTTGTAACGCACCCCTAAACATATTGATGAAAATGGAAAAATATGAACTCTGAGACTATTATATAATACACGTGTCTGCCTTTGATGCATGTAGAGAAAGTCAGAAATGAAAAGTTATCTTGGTTAAATAAATTCAGTTTGGTGCTTTAAATATGTTCAGACATGACTTGCATTTTGGGCAAAAAAAACCTTTGAAAATTCTGTTTTATTTATTTATTGAAATGACTATTATAAAGCAAAAGAATGTAGTTAGAAACGAAGATAGGTTTGCAAGGAACTTAGTGTCATTTCATTAGAACAAAGATATGAATTCGCCCAATTGCTTCCAAATAAATTATTCAGAAAAAAATTCATAACTCAATTTTACAAATTCTACAAAAACCTGCTAATTGTCCAGAGGCTGCAATTCTACAAAAACCTGCTAGTGTCATTTTAAAAGTTTATTTTTTTTATTATTATTTTTTTTCATAATTCATAATGACTTATTAAGTAGTTGCAACTAGCCTTATGATATATTTGATTCACAACAAGTACACTGTTTGCATGATACCATGTGCTGGTGGTAGCAGATCCACTTTTACTATAAATGTTAAATCCTGGAGAGTCAGAAATTTATCTCTACTTTATACTGAATATAGAAGTGCTGATGGGCATGAGAATTGCCTTTTCATGTTGGTATATGTTGAATTCAAGTTTTGCTACCATGAGAATTGCATTATCAGGCTGTCATTGGATGACTCCTCTTGGGATTTAATACAGAGAAAAGCAAGGTTCTGTTACACTTGTATATTATCTGAGTTCTGAATTCTACCTATTTTTGGACATTTCATTTTGTTCATTGAGATGAGAATGATTTGTTTCTATATTAATATTTCTCATCTCAAAATGTTTTATTGGGTTGGTTTGGCAATTTTAGTATTGACTATGATGTCTTGGATTCAAGGATTGGAAATAATGGTAGAAGACAATAAGGTCTTCCAATTAAATCTGTATCTGATATAATTTTTTAGGAGTCAAATTTATGTGACCAAGCACGGGGTAAAAAAACATTATGTGACGAAAATAGTATGAAGCAGTGACACTTCCTTAAAGTAGTTGAGATCTGTATCCAGATACTAGTAAGCCTTGGATGCTCTAAGATGCAGGCATTATGCACAATCTGAAACTAAAATATTTTTCTCAGGGTGTGTGTTGGATAAGACTTGTCATCTTAAATA